ACTTTTTGGTTTTCTATAAATAGTTGGTTTTCTCCCAAAAATATTTAATTCCTCCAGATCTTCTTTTTGGTTCTTAAGGTTTATATCTGGGGATATTTTGTTAGTTTTCTTTGATGTTTTATTGAGTATTCAACTCATGGTTTAAAGAGAGTACATCAAAGGTTTTGTTTGTTATACACAAGAGAGAGAGTTGTTCTTCGGTAGATTCTGGGGAATTCGAGCCTGAAGCTTTGGTGGATTCCGGGGTGGCTCATCGTAAAGACAATTCCGAGGTGAAGACGGGGTTGGAAGAGGCACATAGAGGTTGGTTCAATTAGGCGTGGATTCACTAGGTAATTGAAAGTATACCTGTGTAATTCCTTTAAATCTTCTTAGTGGATTGTTTTGTGGCTGTTGCCTGTGGTTTTTTAATCACAGTTGGAGGTGTCCAATTGTGGTTTTTCTATGTTAAAATCGTTGTGTTGATTTGTCTTGATTGTTTGATTGAGATTGTTATATACTGTTTAAAATTGTTACATAATCACAATTCAATATCTAGGGAATTTCTAGATTTTTCAATTGGTATCAGAGTAGGTCGTTCTATTTTTTTAAAAAAAATTCTTTTAGAACGAGATCTTGTTTGATTTGTGATAATGGATTCAATTCGTGAGGGAAATTCTATGGTTCGACCACCCCTACTTGACGAATCCTCGGAGAGTGATGATGAAGAGCTTGAGCAAGCTTATGAAAAGTTGTATAAGGAGTCTCTTAACTTATTCAAATTAAATGACAAACTCACAAAGAAACTCAAAGCATGTGAAAGTGAGAATGTCAAACTTAAGGAGGAGATTTCCGAGGCCAGGATTGATGCGATCAAGATAGCTGATGATCGACAAGCTCTTTGTGCAAAACTATTGACTTGTGAGACAGAGAGGAATGAGCTACAGGAAACCCATGCCATGGATGAAGAAAAGATTGAATCTCTCGAGATGTCACAAGTTACTTTGGAAGAACTAATGATCAAGAAAGAGGAAGACCTCAAGTGTGTTATGGCTACCATTGGTCTTTGGAACAGAGGATCAAAGACTTTGGACAATATCATTGGGTCTCAACAAATTTGTTCTAACAAGAGTGACATTGGCTTTGGTGGTAAGAAAGAGCAAAAACAGAATGCATCCACATCTCACGATGCAAGAACTCAAGGAAAAGCAGAACAAAAAATTCAACATAAGGATGGACTTCTCAAACTTGCTAGAGTTGGTAAGGTAAAAGAAAAGAAGGTACATCCTGTACACCCTATTTTTATTTGTCATCATTGTGGTATGCATGGTCATATTCGCCCTTATTGTTATAAGTTGCATGGGAGAGTGTCTCATAGAGATGGAAGAAATTCTAACATCTCATGGGGTAGGAGACACTTCATTGGTCATAAGGAGGTTAAGGGTCATAATAATCCTTGCTATTTTGATTTACTTGAGACCAAACATGAACAGAGGCTGTGTTTTCCTAGACCTAGGAATAAGAAGTTAGAAACCATGTCAAGACGGGTTCTCATTGAAAGCAAAGGGAACCACAACGTCAAAACACTACCTAAGAACCGCAATGCTTACAACTTTGTTCATACTATGCGGTTTGGATGAGAAAACTTGACTTGTGTTAATTTGTTTATTTGTTTTAGTTTTTGGGTTTCTGTGTGTTTTTTTTAATGAAAAAAAAAATGTGTGCATGTTTTTTTTACAGTGTCTTAAGAAATAATTTTTCTCTAATATTTATGGAAAATTCTACCATACACATCGTTTGAAAGAGGTGTATCATATACATCTCTAGCTATGTCATTTTTTTTAGTTATGATCAATTTTCTTCTTTACTTATGATAATATTTTAGTTATGATGGTCATTACTCATTTTGGAGTGTGTGTTTTTTGATTAGTATGTCTCATTCTGTACACACTCTTAGATTAGCAAATATTGGAGTCTTCCATCTTCTTGTTTTTTTTCTCTATCGACTTCTGGCATTGTATCTTTTGCTTTTTTAGAGGAATTGACCTATACTAGCATATCATGGGTGATGTTGAGTCTCATAACCATCTTCCATCTTTTTGCATCTCCACGGCTTTCCTCTCTATTCTTTGTAGTCCAGGCATGAGGAAAAGGCTACCTCAGAGTCACCAACCAGGCCATACTTATTATATCCATGCTCTTTTGGTTCGGTTTCCATACTCTTGAGCGTGTCAGCCGCCAATGAGTGTGAAAAAGAAAGAAAAAAAATGTGCAAAAGAAAGAAAAAAAAAAAAAGGATGTGCAAAAGAAAGAAAAGAAAAAGATGTGAAAAAAAAAGGAAAAAATAAAGGATTCATTGATTGAGGGGGAGCCTCCGCCTTTACTTACCAAATACCCCTTGATTCCTAGTGGTTTGACTTTCCTTTGTTATACTTAGATTCTCTTGTCGGAGGTTTAACTTTCAGATCACTACTAGGATTGAATCTAGTGTTTGTCGAACTCCAAGAGTCACACACACACTTTTATCATGGGATCTATGCTTTTCACATAATGCATCACTTTCTTTTATGAGGAATCTTCTAGAGGCTATGCACATTGTGTTTTTTTGTAGTGGTGCTTCTTGGATAATCTTGTGTGTTTCAAGGTACAAATCAGAAATTCCGTGCTTGCTTCACCATATTATTTTTTGTCGTTTCCTTCTTGCTCATTGTTTTTAGTAAGGGGGAGTTTGGTTTATCATTACAAGAGTTTGTTAGCATGAACACTTTGTTTTGTTTGGTAAGAGAGATTGACTTTAGTTGTTTTGCATGTTGCTATGCACTGTTTGCTTATTATTTCTTTCTTGCATGCTCATGATATTTACATCATCATATTATTGCTTGTATGGTTTATGATATGGCTTTAGTTGATTGCGCTTCCTTTGTCGATTCGTGACAAAAAAAGGGGGGGGGAGTATGTGTCTTAGTTTTTAGGTTTTCATGCTATATGTTCTTAAAGTTTTCAGGTTTTCATAACATGTTCTTAAAATCTCCAAGTCGCATCTATTCATGTTTTCCATCTCATGTTTCAAATGCTTCAAGATAATCTAGCCATATGTTTATTGCTTTTTCATATACTCTTGTGAGACTAATAGTTGTTTTGGAGATTGTGACACTAATAGCTGTTTTGCAGATCTTAATCTTGAGAAAGAAGTTTGTGTTTGTTGGTTGTAATGGGTTGGGGTGATTAGGATTTTATTTGTTAGGTGTGTTTTGTCACGGCATTGCCAAAGGGGGACTTTTGGATTTTCTATAAATAGTTGGTTTTCTCCCAAAAATATTGAATTCCTCCAGATCTTCTTTTTGGTTCTTAAGGTTTATATCTGGGGATATTTTGTTAGTTTTCTTTGATGTTTTATTGAGTATTCAACTCATGGTTTAAAGAGAGTACATCAAAGGTTGTGTTTTGTTCTACAAAAGAGAGAGTTGTTCTTCGGTGGATTCTGAAGAATTCGAGCCTGAAGCTTTGGTGGATTCCGGGGTGGCTCATCGTAAAAACAATTCCGAGGTGAAGACGGGTTAGAAGAGGCACATAGAGGTTGGTTCAATTAGGCATGGATTCGCTAGGTAATTGAGAGTATACCTGTGTAATTCCTTTAAATCTTCTTAGTGGATTGTTTTGTGACTGTTACTCGTGGTTTTTTAATCACAGTTGGAGGTGTCAAATTGTGGTTTTTCTACGTTAAAATCGTTGCGTTGATTTGTCTTGATTGTTTGATTGAGATTGTTATATACTGTTTAAAATTATTACATAATCACAAATCAATATCTAGGAAATTTCTAGATTTTTCAATTTAGAAAACACAAAATTATACTATTTTCTTATTTAATTATAGAGTAATGCCACATTCATTTAATTTTGGCTTTGCTCGAATCATCCAAATTTGTACATGTCGGTTGTCCAGCCGATCATCCGAAAATAACAATGACGACCACAATTGATAAGAGTTAGGAAAATGTCTCGTAGCTCAAATTTTGTGGCTCAAAAGTGGCTCAAATGGCCAAAACGACGTCGTTTTGGCCATTTTTATGTTGTTCTGTACTCAAAACGACGTCGTTTTGGCCATTTGAGCCACTTTTGAGCCACAAAATTTGAGCTACGTAGCATTGTCGTAAGAGTTATATTGATTTTCTGACCAATCTGATTATCTAACTTACAAAATTCAAATGATTCGGGTCAATTCAAATTCGAGTATGAATCATTTTTCTTAAGCATAAGATGCATATGGTTTGAAACCTCACACTGCTGTAGAACATCTACACAAGTTTTTCAGTATTTGTTGTTTTGTACATATATTTTGATTTGGTTCAAAATCAGTAACATATGATTTTGTAGGATATGTTCTCACCGACCTAATCTATTTCTCTCTCCCTCTCTCTCTTGATGTAAGAGATGATGAGTCCCGCCATTTCTCTCTCAACAACCATAATCGTTTCAACTACCATAACCGCCACTTCAGTTCCCAAAATTCACAAACAAAACCCCACACTTACACCTACACCTCTCAATTCAACCCTCAAATCCCTCTCCAAATCAGGCAAATTGGACGAGGCTCTTCGTTTAATCGAATCTCTACCCTCAAAATCTCCATCAACCGAACTCGATTTCGAAGCCTACGCCACCCTCCTCCATGCCTGTATCTCCAGAAAATCCTTAGAACATGGACAGAGACTCTACCTTCAACTCCTCCTCTCAAGAGATAGAGGAGGCAGTCTCAACCTCCTCAACAATCCCACCTTGAAAACCAAGCTCATTACACTCTACTCCGTTTGTGGCCGACTCGATGACGCTCGTCGTGTTTTTGAGGACGGTCTCGAGGCGCAACAGCTTCCTGAATCGGTCTGGGTGGCAATGGCAATTGGGTATTCAAGAAATGGGTGTTCAAAAGAAGCTCTGCTTCTTTATTGTGACATGCTGTGCCGGTTCATCCAACTGGGTAATTTTGCATTTTCGGTCGCTCTCAAGTCGTGTACTGAATTGTTTGAATTGTGGGTTGGCAGAGCAGTTCATGCTCAGATCGTTAAGTCTAACGAAGAACCTGATCAAGTTGTGTGGAATGCTCTTCTTAGGTTTTATGCAGAGTGTGGGTGCTTCGAAGAGGTACTCCAGGTGTTTGAAGGAATGCCTCAAAGAAATATTGTTTCTTGGAACTCATTGATTGCTGGGTTTGTACGGCGAGATCAACTGTTTGAGGCTTTTGATACTTTTAGGAGGATGCAAAGAGAGGGTTTGGGATTTAGTTGGGTTACCATCACTACAATGTTACCGGTCTGTGCTCGAGTAACTTCACTTTATAGTGGAAAAGAGATACATGCTCGGACTGTGAAATCGGAGAGGATGCCAGATGTGTTGGTGCTAAACTCGCTGATGGACATGTATGCAAAATGTGGAATCGTGGATTATAGTAGGAGAATATTTGATGGAATGCAAATTAAAGATTTGACATCATGGAACACTTTGCTTACAGGGTATGCAATCAATGGGTGTATGACAGAAGCAATGGAATTGTTTGAGGGGATGCTTGATTCTGGCTTCAGTCCAGATGGGGTCACTTTTATTTCCTTGTTGTCAGGTTGCAGCCATGCAGGGCTCACAAATGAGGGCCAGACATTGTTTGACAGAATGAACACTGAGTTTGGAATCTCACCTAGTTTAGAGCATTATGCTTGTTTGGTAGATATATTGGGTAGAGGAGGGAGAATCAAGGAGGCATTGGAAGTAGTAAAAAACATGTCAATGAAGCCAAGTGGTAGCATATGGGGTTCATTGCTCAATTCATGCCGACTTTATGGCAATGTTTCTCTTGCAGAGGCTATTGCAAAGCGTTTATTTGAGCTTGAACCAAACAATCCAGGGAATTATGTGTTGCTATCGAACATCTATGCAAATGCAGGATTGTGGGAGGGTGTTAAGATGGTGAGAGATGTGATGGAAAAGCGTGGTATCAAGAAGGAGGCTGGATGCAGCTGGATACAGATTAAAAAGAAATTACATACTTTTGTGGCTGGTGGGGGCTTTGAACTTCGTAGTTCAAATAAGTATAAGAAGTTGTGGAATGAATTGATGGAAGCTATGGAAGCAGATGGATACGTCTCAAGTACAGGAGTTGTGCTTCATGATGTAAGTGAGGAAATGAAGGCAATGTGGGTTTGTGGACACAGTGAACGAGTTGCAACAATGTTTGGACTGATTCACACTGGAGCTGGAATACCAATTAGGATTACAAAGAATCTTCGTGTTTGTGTGGACTGCCACTCTTGGATGAAGTCTGTATCAAGAGTTACAAGGAGAGTAATTATTTTGAGGGACACAAATCGCTTCCACCATTTTGACAAAGGAATGTGCTCTTGCAAGGATTATTGGTGATTACACCATTATGGTGCAGTATAAATGATCTTTCTTTGTATTAGTCAACTTTCCTATTCTAGAGCTATCTGCACACCTAGCTTTTCCAGAATGTTCTACTATCTTCTACATAAGTGAGTTATAATTTGGAAATATGGAATACAAAGAAAAAAGTGTCAATTAGAAAATGTTATATCGGTTATATGGAGATCCTTAACAACAAGATTTAACTATGAGCTAGTTTGGTTGAGAGGTTCAAAATCACCGCCAATAAGTCATCTGACTTAGACATGGTGGGCATCTTTGTCTCTTGGAGTTGGTATAATCTGCATGTTCCACTCAGGGAGGTAGGTACAGTGCTGTGATTAATGAATTTTGTGTTATGGTAAAATTAATAGGATTATAAATGCAGTCAGATTAGAGTATGTAAACTCGATCCTCTCGTTTTTGATACACTTGGTTAATGTATAAAATGGTAAAGCAGAATTGTAAGAACTTTTTGAATTGAATAACAAAAAGGATCATAGGTGAGCAGAATTTTTTTAATGTAAACCAGAATGAATGTCAATGGAAAATGCTATAGAGCAGATTTAACCAACCACTTTATCTCTACTCTCTGTCTCTACACTCATTCTCTCTCAGATCGTAAAATTTCTCTCACACGATAACACACGAGCACTGCCTAGATCGATTGAGCGAGCGACTTCCACCATCAGATCGACCATTGTTCGCACAGAATCACGAGGTATGTCCTCTCTCTTGTTGTTCTCCTCTCCTTCCTTCCTCTTTCACTCTCTCTCTCTCTCTTGACACTCTCATACTCTCTCAAATCATAAAATTTCTCTCACACGATAGCGCACAAGCACTGCCTAGATCGATCAAGCAACAATATGCTTAGGACGATTTGGTTTGTATAGTAAGGATATGATGTTAGGGCATTAATCTGTGCAATTCTTCGCAGGTATTCTGATATGTATGTGTGGATGTGTTGATGTGTTGTGCAAATTAATGTGTTGTACTGATGATTTTTCTTAATAACATGAGCATTATTTTGCCCACAACCTTCTTGTTCTCTCTCTATTGATGTGTATGGTCTGGGTTACAAATTTGAGCTGTGAAGTGTTTGAGAAAATGTATCAGCTAGAAAACATGAAAATGAATTGGCTGGCTGGCTGGTGAGTATCAGACAGGATACCTTATTGTCTGGTTTCCATTAAAGTACACATGAGATCAGCTGTGGGACGCTTTAAATGATACAAAGCCTACGTTTGGGAAGAAAATTTTGGGACTTTTTTGGCTATTTTAGCCACAAAAGACAAAATAGGCTATTTTAGCCACAAAAAACAAAACATCACATCCAACCCATAATCATTACACTCTTCACTCACAAAAAAATTCAAAAAAGCCAAAAAGCCAAAAAGCCCTTCCCAAACCAAGCTTTTTAGCCCAGGCTAAAATAGCCAAAAAAGCCAAAAAGCCAAAAAGCCAACCCACTTTCCAAACGTAGGCAAAGAGAGCAATTTTTATGAGTTCTTATAATCTTTCTTGCTTTTTTTCATTCCTAGTTTCCATTGACAACCAAATTAGGAAAAACAATTCCCCATATACACCGCACTTCATAAGCGACATAACTTTTTCTTCTTCTTCTTCTTCTTTTCTTCTCTCTCTCTCTCTCTCTCTCTCTCTCTCAAGATTTGGTTGAATCTTTGAATGACTGAAATGAAGAATGTGTTCCAGCTTTGCATGTGGTCCTTTGAAAGCTTTTTTTTTTTTTTTTTTAATATTATTTTTTTGGTTCTTTGGCAAGCACAAGTTGGTATTGGATTGGTTAAGATTCATTGCCACTTATGCTTCGACTGGAAAATTTTGAACAGGGGAAGAGACTGAGAATTAAAAATGGGTCCTACATGTAGATGTGTATAGTCTCTGATATATGAACTTGAAAAAGGAATTTACAATAATGAAACAATGGCAATGATAGTAACAACAGTGATAATGGACACATTTATTGTTAATTTTTGTTTTTAAGGTCATGGGTTAATTTTTTTGTTTTGAATCTTTTTTTTGGTATGACTTGTTTTTGGGTTGTGATTTGCAAAAAGCGTTATACATGTTTGCATAAGTTCCTGTTAAAATTATGCTTCATTTTTACAATGATATGAGAAGCTGAAGCATTTGCATGGCTCCACCAATTGCATAGATTGTTGTACTCTCCACCAAATACACAGATACAAAGCTTAGCCATGGGGAAGTTGAGGGTGGGAGAGTCAAAGTAGATTACGCACTGTTAATTATTATTATTTTTTTTAATAACCATGTGACTGTTGTGTCTCTTTGGGAGGTTTCAGTCTTTGGAGTCTTTTTTGTCTGTTCCGTGTGTTTCCTATATTTTTTTCTTGGGTTGATTTCTTGCCAACTTTTAGTTCTCTTTGGGGTTGCTGGCCTTGTTGCTTGGCTCCTAATTAATAAGCAGACCATAGTATTCAAACCACATTACACTCCAAAGTCTTCAACATAACACTCCACCCTTCTCTGCATTGAAATACCCAAAATTTAGTTGAAAATGTACTGTAGGTGCATGTGAACATTTTTTAAATATCTAAGAAACTTTTGTTGAATTCATGGAGCATTATATATTTTGACATGGACTCATAGGGTAGTAATCTGTAATCAAACATATTTTTTGTTGGATAAATTATAAATACATCCCTTGAGCTTTGTTTAAAATAGAAATTGTTCCCTATGATTTGAAAAATTAATTACTCCTTTATTAGAATTTTTTTATTTAACATAATTAACTGAAAAATGAAATTCATAATGGCTCTCCTATACAATAATAAAATTACATAAATTATTAATTGAAATATATTTCTAACATCATTAAAAACTGTTAATTGACTTAATAATTTATTAATAAAATTGGTGATTTGTTATGAAATTAGAAACTTTTGGGGTAAAATGTAATTTTCAAAATCACAGGGGACAATTTGTATTTTAATCAAATCTCAAGGGGGTGTATGTATAATTTACCCTATTTGTTTGAACAATTGAGTTGTTTTGAATATTTTAAAATGTTTGGACATTTAGATATCTTTTGTTGAACGAATTAGAAATTTGTTTTTGTTGAATGAATTTGGTTTATATTTTGGATTGCTGGATGGATTTTTATGTATTAATTATATCTACTAGTTAAACGAATGTTGTTTGAATTTTTCATAGGTGAGTGATAAGTTTATGGAATGTATTTTGCTTTTAGTCATACGTATCATAAATAGCAATCATTTTTTTGTTTGAGATGACCTAAATAAGTGTATTTTTTCTCTTTTTACGAAAAGATGTGTAGAAAAGTAGATAGGTGATGTGATGGAAAAAAGATAAAAAGATGGATTATTTTTAGATTGCCAAACTAAAATCTAATTAGCGCTAAAGAGATTGTTATTATAAATTAACAAATCAAAATTTTAAATTGTCGCCAAAAAATTCGCTAAAGATGAGAATTCACGACAAAGTAACTTGTCAATAATATGCTGAAGTTGAAACAAAATACTTCTTTTTTTGGAGCAAAATTTAATCTTTGGTGACGAAATTCTAGAAATTGTTAACAAAACCTTTAGTTGCAAGGCTTTGGCGGCATCTTCGTGACAATTTTATAATTGTAGCAAAAAAACTCTTACACTGTGTTTGATTGGGAGATTTTAGGAGAAATTTGAAAAGAAAAAGAAAAAATGTGTATAAAATTAAGTGAAATGTATATATATTTTATTTATATTTCACGTACTTTTTTTTTTCTCTCCAAATCTATGTTCAAATTTTTTCTCAATTTTTCTAACTAAACACAGTGTTAGTGACAAATTTTTGACTTTTGAAGGCGATTTTATATATCTCGAAAAATGCTTTTTCTGAAAGAGGGAGAGGCTGTTTTGAACATTTATTACTTATTCACAAAATGACTTTTTGTGCTACTTTCTTTATCATCAAGATTTGTCTTGATTAATGATTTTTTTTTTAATTTTATTTTATGTATATATAAACACATTATATACTGATAATATATTTAAGGAAAAATTATATGTAGGTGAGAAAAGAGAAAATAAATTACTAACACATGGAGGGATGCACGTGACACTTGCATCTCCATAATCTTTCATTTGTACCCTATTACAGACATACTTATAGTCTCATGGATTTATAATTTTTTTTCCTTTCTCCCATCTGCATGTAATTTTCCCATATTTAAAAGTGGGGCTTCCCTCTACTTGGCCCTTGGCAAGCACCTCATCTGCCTAGTGCTTTAATCGATTTGGTCATTTTGACATTGAATTGTTTTGGGTAAATTACAAATACACTCTTTAAATTTTGATTAAAGTATAGATTATCTGACATGATTTAGAAAATTACAAATACTCTTTATTATAATTTTTTATTTAACAAAATTAACTAAAAAATTGAAATTTATAATTTCTCTCCTATACAATAGTAAAATTACCTAAATTATTAATTAAAATATATTTATAACATTATTAAAAACTATTAACTGACTTGAAGATTTATTAATAAAAAGGGCGATTGATTATGAAATTAGAAACTTTAGTAGGTGGAATGTAATTTTCAAAACTATAAGAGACTATTTGTATTTTAATCAAATCTCAAGAGTATATTTGTAATTTATTCAATTGTTTTTAATGAACAACCAATCAACAACATCATATAGAACCAAAGCGTTTACCTGTTCAAAAATACTGAAGTGGTATTTGGATTAATTAAAATAGTGACACATTTGATTCTTTCATTTAGGGGTCTTTTGGGAAGTGGGTTATAATCCACTTTTCAGATTATAATCCACTTCCTTCTCTCATAAAAAATTAATTATAATCAATTTATAATTAACTTTTAATTAAAAAATTGATTATAACTATCGTCTCAAAATAGCTATTAGACAAATCGGTGCAATGTGGCTTACATGATGCTCTGTGTTATGAAAAATACATCATATTGAAATGTCCCATCGCATCCAGTATTCAACATATATTTTTACTAACAGAAATGCTTCCTACCCCCACTGGGTGTGTCGACCCCCAGTGAGGTGTCACTGGGGGATTGGCCCAAAAAAACAGTTTTCTTTTTTTTTTTTTTTCTTTGTGTTTTCAGCAAATAGGGGGTCGCCACCTCACTGGGGGTCGACCCCCACTGGGTGTATAAATCACGGTTGTAATTGTAAAACCCAAACCAGTGTTATAGAACCATGAGTGATTACTGGTGGGGCTGCACAAACTGCAGTGTCTGGTGAATGTGTTTGGTATATTAATTTTTGATGGTGCCCACTGCCCACACACCATGTGTATCACAACCTTTAATTTTTTTATTTTTTATTTTTGCTTATTATAACAAAGAAAGATTTACCCTTTTTAGGTTAACCTTGATAACATCTTCC